AGTCTGGCTCTGTTGCCCAAGCTGGAGTGCAATGGCACGATCTCAGCTCACTGCAACCTCCGCCTCTCAGGTTCAAGTGATTCTCCAGCCTTAGCCTCCCGAGTAGCTGGGATTACAGGTATGCGCCACCACGCTGCCTAATATTTTTTGTATTTTTAGTAGAGACGAGGTTTCACCATGTTGGCCAGGCTGGTCTTGAACTCCTGGCCTCAAGTGATCTGCCCACTTTGGCCTCCCAAAGTGCTGAGATTACAAGCGTGAGCCACCGTGACCGGCCTGTATTAAAAATTTATCCATTAAATATTTTTCAACTTTTCTTGAGACAGGATCTTGCTCTGTTGCCTGGGCTGGAGGGCAGTGGCATGACCTCAGCTCACTGCAGCCTTGACTGGGCTTATCATACCACCTCATCTTCCCGAGTAGCTGGGATCACAGGTGCGGGCCACCATGCCCAGATAATTTTTGTATTTTTTGTAGAGACAGGATTTTGCCATGTGCCCAGGCCGGTCTTGAACTCCTGAGTTAAAGTGATATGCCTGCCTTGGCCTCTCCAGGTGCTGGGATTACAGGCATGTGCCACCGTGCCCAGTCCATTGGAAGATTTTTGAAAACTTTTATAAATAAGTTCTACTGTGTCTACCTGTCACATAGTAAGTGCTCACTTAGTGGTCTCTTCCTTTTTCTGTCAGAGAAATTGCCAAGAGTTGTCAAATTTTCACCACAAGTGAGCAAAGTGCCAAAACCAAAGTCTCCACCTTTAGAGTTATCTGTAAAACTTCATTTGAAAATTGGTTTCTTGACACTTGGTAAAAAGAAACAACATAATTACACGACACGTTCCTGGATCAATCCACAAAACACAGTTAATTCATAGTATATGCAAAGCACTGTACTTATACTGGTCTACCTGCTCCTAAACAATGTAAAAAATTTTCTCTTCAGAGAAATGTAGGCATCAGGTACATTTCCCCTCTTACTCCACTTAAGAGATGAGAAATTTCAAGGTGGCTGTTATTTCTAGTTGCATACATATATGTTAAGACAAGAGAAAAAGGCTCAATCACTGACTCTGGGTATTCTGAATCGGGTTAAGGCTCAGGTTCCTCTAAGACCTTAGTTTTGTGCTAAAGAGTTCATACATAAAGCAAGAACCACAGGTACTTCACTCCTAAAGTCTTCTTTCAGTATTTACTTTAAAGATTTAATTTAAGGCTGGGTGTGGCAGCTCATGCCTGTAATCTCAGCACTTTGGGAGGCCAAGGTGGGTGGATCACCTGAGGTCAGGAGTTTGAGACCAGCCTGGCCAACAGGGCAGAACTCTTGTCTCTATTAAAAACACAAAAATTAGCCGGGTGTGGTGGCAGGCGCCTGTATTCTCAGCTACTCAGGAGGCTGAGGCAGGAGAATTGCTGGAACCCAGGAGGCAGAGGTTGCAGTGAGCTGAGATCGTGCTGTTGTTGTATTCCAGCCCTGGCGACAAGAGCGAGATTCCATCTCAAAAAAAAAAAAAAAGATTTAATTTAATCTTAAAATTGGTTATGAGTGGAAGTATTTATTATAAATTAAAGACAATTAAGGACTTATGTCTAGATGGCAGCTGAATTAGGAAAGTTTTTGTTGGTTTGTTTCCTTTAGACACTCCCAACCAATTTCCAGGTAACAAACTTGAATGGTTTGGTTTCTCATATACAGAGTATAAATCTACAATACATTCTCTCTGCATTCTATATAAACTAAAACTAATTTGCTCTTCTCAACCATAATTTGAACACATATTGAATAATTCAAGATAACTTACACATACAGAGGCAGTGGGAATTCATCTTAAAATAATTCAACTGATTTGTTCTTCATTTCTCAATTTGAAGGACTAGGAGTCCAAACTATTTCCTTGTTGCTGCTGCTGATACTGTTTTCCTTGTTAAGTAACTTATTGTCATGTCTGCATTTATAATTGTAAGTAACACACATTTTTTATAATCACAGTCTATGATGCTATCATAGTTATGTATTACATGTGGAGTGACCAACTTTAAGGCTGTCTGTTCCATCAAAATTTCTGGTCTTTGATCAGAATTGCAAAAAGAAAAAGTTCTTACTTTTGGCAAATTTATAGTTTGTAAATCCACTTTAAAGTCCATGTAAATTGTTTTACTTATTTTAGAGATAAAGAAACTCAACCACTACATGCTACCATTCCTTAAAATAAGCAAAATGTACATACATTTTAGAATCTGAATCTTAATTGAAATAATGATCCAATAAACGTCAAAATTGCTAAATTTGTCATCATTATTTGAAGAAAAGAAAACCTTCAAGTAAGCCCACACATCTTAGCTAAGAGCAAGAGGAATTTTTAATAACCTCCTTCAATGTTGATGTCTTTTCCAGACTTCTCTCCTTAGGCCAATTATATACTTAGAAAACTGTATAATAATTAATCCATATGCAAATTTTAAACTATAGCTCAAAAAATTTATTGGCTACTGAAAATTACTACTAATTTTCCAGTGTAGGGTATGCCAAATATTCAATAAGTACCTCACGTGAAAGAGCTGGTGCTCAGCACTAATTTTTCAAGAGCGAACTTGAAGAAATGAATAAAGTTGTAATGTGTATAAATGCACATTATACAACAGCATAGAACTTCTTTGTATTACTTGTAAAAGGAAAGGTTTTTACTTTCCTCATTATGAATTCCAAAAATTCAAAAACTTTTCTTTTTTAAATTTTGACTGCTTTCATTATAGGAATATTGCTTCCACACTCTTCATTCCTACTCTTCCCAGCAGATAAACATTCTCTTCTTTCCATCAGCAACCAATTCAAGCTTATCTTTCTTTTTAAAGGCAAACTGCAACATATCATTTCAATTAAACCCAATATATTACTCCCACATTTCTTATTCAAAGGTCTTAGGAATAAGCCTCATGCTTCTCACAGGAGATGAAATGATCCATCAACATATGTAACTGATGTTTCCCATTTTATTTTGATTTCAAGATTTTGTACCTATTGTCTAATCATAAACTTTTGCAGTTAAGAATTTCCTCTATATTTTATAGGGCTTAAGCCTTAAAAAATAGTCTATATGATTTAATTATCAATTTTTTCCATAAGTGAAGTTCACTGAAATTAATTTTCTCACATTTTCATTAATTATACAGACAATATTTAATTTTTTTTAAAAAGCCTCTTTAAAGGGTATGTTACTCATTTTATTACTCTATGACTTTCAATTCCTGAATATAATAAATTTTAAATGACTAAATTTTATTTATTCACTGATTAAGTCAGATTTATGACCTCCTCTCCCCATTCCAGCTACTCTGAGTTTTGAATGAAACAACCTCAATTGTAACAGAAGAAACATCTGTTGCTTTTTTTCTTCACCAGGGCTTTCCTAACTGAAAGAAGAAAGGCTCTCTGCCTGACCTCCACTCCCTCTCCCACTCCCGCTCCTCACCCACACTAAGTTCCTTAAAACTTTAAGTAAATGTATTATTTAAAATTTTACTGTATCTATTAAAAACATCATAGTTTATTTAGAAACTCACTTCCTTATTGAACTTCAAAGAATGACTAAATTTTTGCTCTGCTTTCAAGATGCTATTATATATAAAAAAAAATAAGACATGTGTCTAATAGAATATACATTGTAACCAAAATGCAAACTTCAAAGGTGTAACTGAAATGATCAATGCAATTAAGTTATCACATATTCTGGGCTCATTAAGAACTGCTTAGGGATAAGATTTTCTTCAGTGTCCAGATTCATATAGCATCTTGTATGCTATATTTTCTTTGCTAATCCAAGGCTAACATAATGGCAGTTACTACCCCAAGAGGCAGACACCAAATGGTGCCACCCACACTCTCACACTGTGCCTCATAATAAACCATAAAGCAGTGGAATGCACCGGCCCCTTTATGAGCAAACAATGCCTAAGCTTCATTAGAATACAGCTGACATTTTCAAAGCACAAATACTTTTAAGAAAAATGTACTAGGAAAAAAAGGAATGAAACAGCTATAAAAGCTGAAATATTTTTCAAGTGTCAGGCTGATTTCCAAAGATCCTTGGGAGGTATATTTTGCTGCTGGCAACTTAAAAGTTTTCATAAATGGAAAAAATGTTTAGTTAAGGGCAAAGCTTATTTTATTAACTACTGGGGAAAAAAATGAAAGTAAAAACTATCAGTTGAATTGCTTTCACAAGTAATAACCATTAATTACCTTTAAAATTAGTTTCCTCAACTGCTGCTTTAGTTCCTGAATTAAGAAAACTGAGCTCCGAAATTATTCTCACATTTTAATTAATTTATATAAGTGAATAATAAACTAACTCTTCCCCTCCCCCCGCCTACCCCAACCCCCATACATAACCCTGTAGTTTTTCTGTCTGTAACAAGCAAGGACGTCTTGAAATCAGCATGCTCCTGGCTATTTATCAATTTAATATTGCTGTTGTTTAAAGAATATAAAATAAGTGCTGTAAAAACTCACCCAGCAGTAAGAAACAAACTGATCTCTCTTACCTGGTCTAAGGAAGCATGCCTCTCACTGCAGTACCAACAACACTCTACAGTCTTTGTTACCATTCAGTGGAAACTTGAGACTGTGTCAGACGTAAGCAATCGAGCTCAGAAAAGCTCAATTTAAAATATTTCTCAGTAAAACTAAAAAGATGCTCAAGAAAACTGTTTAGTTAACTGGCTTTCAAAAGACATATGAACACTGTCTACAACAAAGACATTTCAAAAGAAATTTAAAGTGCAGGTCTTAAATGAAGGGGCTTTCCTATGTAGAACCTTGTGCTTTTTTTTTATTAAATTAAAAGGATATTTTTATTTTTAAAAACTGCTTAAAGTACACATTTGATCTCAGCCAAAAGGCCGAGAAGCAATAAAAATGCCTAAAGTAGTGAAATAACTACAAGTTAGCATTTTTCTAAATATCACTTGTATTTTAACTAACTTAAAAAATAAGATTAAACTTACTCATGAAACCTGCATAATTTGAATCATACATATCAGAGTATCTGCTGGCTCCAAAGCAGTCACAAACCAGGAGACTTAATGCATCTTGAAAGCAGAGCAAAAGCACCGCAAGTTTCAGGAGGAAAAAAGGAGGAGAAACTCTTGAAAAACTGGTCAGGGCTTTCTGAACCTGTAATAACTGACCAGCTCTTGTGGGAGGAAAAAAATGTTCCAGTCCTGCCCCCTGAGATAGGAGGCTATGCTTCAATGCCAAAATGAATGACAGGCCCATTTCTGATATCAACAAAGAGCAGCTTAGTTGTGCTTCTTCTTCTTTTTTTTTTTTCCCCACTTTCCCACACAGAAGTTCTAAAATTTCCAGGTTAGTCCTTTTATATCTAGGGTTAAGTACCTTTCTCCATTTTCTCAAGAGATAACCCAATTATGTTGTCCTGGTTTTTTTTTTTAATGATTAATTAAATATACACACCTAATTATCTTACTTAGTTTTCCTAGGCAGGAAGCTGAACAAAAGATGATCCCTTAAGTTACTTTCCAAATCTATTCTTTGCAATATCAGATAACCATATGACTAACTGCCAATATTAACAAGTTTTTCCAGCATTGATGTATGGCACAAGTAGAAACAAAAAGCAGGTAATATTAAAAACAAAGCAACTGAGATAAAATTTTCACCTACCAAGATGTAAAGACGATTTACCAAGGTACATGTCTTTGATTACACAAATTCAAAACAAATACTTCAATCAACAACATCAATACTTATTATAAGCCAAGCACTATTTTGGGCCCTGGAGATACAGTAGTGAATGCAACAAACAAAAGCCAAACAAAAATCCCTGTCTTTAGTGAGCTTAGTTTATTTCAGTTCACTCTAAGTACAAGTCTCCTAGATGACGAAGGTACTTTTCTTTGATTAGTTATCACCTATTCTGAAATATTCCCCTTGGAAAGTATGTCAGTAGCTCCATGAGATGCTACAAAGTATCTGGTGCTCTGTTCAGTGTTGTACCACCAGTGTCTAATACAGTGTCTGTTAGACACTCAAATGTATATTGAATCAAATACATCAAAGAGTTTTTTCTTTCTCAAAAATTTCTTTTGCCACCACATACTACATTTACATGCATACAGATATATGATAATAATACAATACAGGGTGTAAATTAAATTGGGTTGTAAACACCTTAGTATGAACAAAATTGAAAATGAAACCTATATGGCCCTCTATCTTTTCTGATTCTACAATAAAATCTGTTTTCACTATTGGATGTAAGTCCAGTGTAATACCTAAGTAAAGAAAGCAGATAAAATTCTATAAACTAAGTTTCTGTGGACAGATTTCAGAGGAGCTTTGAAAAAAAAAAAGAAACTTGGAAATTACACAGAAATCAGTTTGGTGTTATTAAAATCTTACATGTTTATATCAATTTACATTCCCACATTTGGAAACAATTTTAAACTCCCCATCCTGCTTTGCACCATTCTTGATCATCTTACCAGATGACGCTTCTTACAGAGAAAATAAGTGTATACCTCTAACCTGTCAGATGAGCTAGAAGTGCTCACCCACGTCACCCAAGGCCAGAATATTCAGGGGCTACATATGGTCACATCTACTCTGTTATAGTCTTAAAACAAAAGGAAATTAAACTTCCAGGTACTCAGGTATATTCACCATATCTCTAAATAGGAGAGCATCCCCCCCACCCTCCCATCATTCCAGACCTAGACAATAATTACAAGTTAAAATATAAACTATCCAGTATATGTTTTAACAACAAACCTAATAGCAACCCAAGGTAAGGGAGATGTGATAACTGAGGTCAACTGATGAATAAAGTAAGGTGGGGCCAAAGTAGGATTCTACTGTTCTTAAAGGATGAATTTTCCTTTTCCCATTCCTTCCTTGGACAAATACTGATTGAGCAGTATTTGTATCAGGCACTGAGCAAGGCAACAAACTGACCTGCCACCTACTGTCCACTACACAGATCTGACCTTCAGCCTATCTAATCCTCCAAGTTTCCTTCTCCATGCTTGCCTTCCTTCCCAGAGCCTCTTCTCTGGTCTCAAATTCTTTACTACCCTTCAATCTACTCTGATGCCTTTCTTGGCAGGTAGCATCATCACTACCGTCTATGTTCTGCAAGTGTATGACACAGTGCAGGGAAATTAATAAGACTTTCCACTCATATGATACAAATGCAGATTATATAGGTCCTGTCAAACAATTTCTCCTTAATCTTATCTAGAAAATCTATTTAAGCATCATTAATTACTATTCATTATCTAGAACACACCAAAGGTGGCCAGACATTCTCCTAAGTTTATAAACTGATTTATTTGGACTGAAGTTTGCTACATTTATTGGCAATCTGACCAAATATTAAGCCCATTTAACACATACATTTATGATTCTATAAGCAGAAATGACACTATGATAGTGTATTGATAGGTATATCTAGCAGGCATTGGCCAAATAAAAACTGTCTATCAGATCTATATAATGAAGTCATAGAAATTAGCTATGTTGCACCTATACTTATACTTTCAAGTAAAATATCGAATCTTCCTGATAAGCACTACACCTAAAGCAAAAAGTTTCTGCTATCACTTGCATGGTTAGGTGCCAATTTCTTAAAAACACTGCACAGTAAGTATTTCATATTTGCCTGCTCCTCTTCCTTTTTCCACTTTTTCTTTTATTTCTTTTTTTGTTTTATTTTGTTTTTAGAGACAGGGTTTTGTTCTGTCACCCAGGCTGGAGTTGGAGTGCAGTCACAGCTCACCGTAGCCTCAATCTCCTGGGCTCAAGTGATCCCTCCCACTTCAGTCTCCCAAGTAGCTGGGACCACAGGTGTGCACCACCACGCCCAGCTAATTTTTGTATTTTTTGTAGAGACAGGGTTTCGCTATGTTTCCCAGGCTCGTCATGAACTCTTGGGTTAAAGTGATCCTCCTGCCTCCCTTCCAAAGTGTTGGGGTTACAGGTGTGAGCTACCACGCCTAGCTCTACGCTTTCAGCATGCACATTTTTCTAAGTTCCGTGCTTGATGCTCTTTTCAAGATACGCTGCTCCTCTGGAGGATGTTACCTATTTCTATAGCTTCATCATCTCTACATAGATGACTACAGAAATTTGTACTTCTAGCCCTGGCTTTTTCTATTCTGCTATAAACTCTTATTTAGATGCCTATTAGACATCTCTGTTTATATATCCCATAATCTCAGCTCAGCCTCTGCAGTACTGAACTTCCTGTCTACCTTCCCAAACCCACTCATCCTTCTAGGCTCCCCAGGCTTGCAAAAGGCACTAATATCAAGAACAGAAAGTGATTTTCTTCTTGCCTCATACTCACCACCCAAATGCCCACATTGTTTCCAGTTTTTTTCTAACATATATTGTCCTCCTAGATTAAAAACAAAACAAAATGAGACATGTAAGTTCTGATGCCTAGAGCTATACCATCCAAAATAATAGCCTTAGCCACACGTGGCCATTTAAATTTAAGGTGATTAAAATTAAATAAAATCAGGCGGGCGTGGTAACTCGTGCTTGAATCCCAACACTTTGTGAGGCTGAGGCGCGTGGATCTCCTGAGTTCAGGAGTTCAACACCAGCCTGACCAATACAATGAAACCCCATCTCTACTAAAAATAGAAAAATTAGCTGGGCTTGGTAGAGGGCCCCTGTAGTCCTAGCTACTCAGGAGGCTGAGGCAGAATTGCTTGAACCTGGGAGGCAGAGGTTGTGTGAGCCAAGATTACACCACTGCACTTTAGCCTGGGGGACGGAGCGAGACTCAGTTTTAAAAAAATAGATAAGGAAATAAAATAAAATAAAATTGAAAATGTGATTTCTCAGTCATGCTAGCTACATGTCAAGTGCTCTATGGAGCTGCATGTGGCTAACAGCTACTGTATTGAACACTGTAGATACAGAACATTTCCATCACTGAAGAAAGTTGTATTAAACATCTCTGATCTAGAAAATAATAGCAAGCCACTTAAATTAGTAATCCAATTTTTTCTCAATAGAGTCCCAATCTACCTGTGTTAACCTTATCTTCTTCCAAAACCCCTATGCATGCTTTAGTAACAACTTAGTGGGGCCCACAGAATTAAGTTGAAGGCTTCACAAAGATGAGGTAGGCCTACACAAGCTCTGTGGAGAGGGATCATTAGGAGGCAAAGAAACCAAAGATTTAGAGAGAACAGAAATAGTTCACTAAAGCCCCCACAAGTTAGGAAGGGACAAAATTTTGGAGATAATACCTTAAGCCTTGGAGAAGAAATATGGTACAGTGGAGAGAGCATGAGCATTAGAGAGTCAGAATACTTCATCCAAATTCAAGTATCTATTTAGTTATAATGGACAGAAATCAAACTCAAACTAGTTTAATTTGAAAGGAATTGGTTGGCTTAACTGGCTCAAAGAATCCCACAGGGTGAGATAACTGAACCAGGAAGGTCTACTTTGCAAAAGGGTCTTTTTTTTTTTTTTTTTGTCAATCAATGAGAGCATGTAACGTTGCTCAGGTTGGCCTTGAACTCATGGCCTCACCTCCTCAAGCACCAGGACAACTGGCCAGAGCCACCGTGGCCCCCCTGCAAAAGGGTCTTTCATAGCAGCAAGGTCTTTAGCTTTCAAACTTCCTTCCCTCCTCAGAAACTTTAATATTTCTCTTTCCACTGAGTTCATCTTAATATTTCAAATGCATAGATTGTTCCTAACTCCTAATCAAACTAAAAACAGCTTACTTCCCATCTCTCTTTAACCACCAAATTTTTTTAGTGTGGTATCTGTATCCACTATCTCAACTTTCATACCAACTATTTTTCCTTTTTTTTTTTTTTTTTTTTTTTTTTGAGACAGAGTTTCATTCTTGTTGTTCACACTGGAGTGCAATGGCATGATCTCGGCTCACCGAAACCTCCACTTCCCGGGTTCAAGTGACTCTCCTGCCTCAGCCTCCCGAGTAGCTAGGATTACAGGAATGTCTTACCACACCCAGGTAATTTTTGTATTTTTAGTAGAGATGGGGTTTCATCATGTTGGTCAGGCTGATCTCGAACTCCTAAGCTCAGGTGATCCCCCCACCTCAGCCTCCCAAAGTGCTGGGATTACAGGCGTGAGCCACGACGTCTGGTCTTGTACCAACTGTTAATTAATAATTCTTTAAAAATGCACCACGTACCTCTGACATAACCACTGTTTTAGGCACTAGAGATACAAAAATAAAGAAAGCATAGTCCTTATCCTCAAAAAAAAAAAAACAAAACAAAAAAACCAAAAACCCATTTTGGCTTCTATCTGACTGCTCAAATGAAACTGCACTGCCTAAAGTAGACAATGAGCTCTGCCTTGATAAATCTAATAATGTGTGCTTATGCTCCATAACCTTGCTGTATCTGGCCTTGCTGATCTTACAAATCTCATCTTCTTGATACTACTGCAACTATCTCCTCTTGGCTTTCATAAAGACTATTTCTTCTCTATTTCTACCCCGGTGCTTGTGAAGTGGTTCCTTTATTTTTTTCTTACTACCTGCATTCTAAATGGCTCAACAACAGCCATCTCTTTTGCTGTACTATTGTTTCAGAAGGTGACTGACTACACAATTTATTATCTAAACAATTACAATTAGGGGTGAAAGGGGCACACTATTAATAATTATGCTGGCACACAAATGAAGCTGTTTGGGAAAAGTGAAACATACGGATTCCTGCTTAAAAACCTTCAATAGTTCTGTCTCCACGTCTTTAAGCATGCCATACAAAAACCTACTTTGAACTAATTGCCTCTATGGATTAAATTTCTATCTTTTTATGGCTGTCTCAAGGTCCATCTTCTCTCAGTACTCAGAGTACACTGAGACAATAGTATGTCTAATGAAGAGTCTCATTTGACTGCCTCCCCCATCTAACAGCAACCTCATTACATGTCCCTGGTCAAGAGTGCCCACAAACCACTCAAAAACCTCATTGAGAGAGATAAGAAAATGGAAACTTACTAAAGTCAAATAACTTGCATAAATTCAAGCAAGTGGTAAAACTGTGATTCTAATCAATATGGTTTGGCTGTGTCCTCACACAGATTTCATCTTGAATTCCCATGTGTTGTCGGGAGGGACCTGGTGGGAGGTAATTGTATCATGGGGGCAGGTCTTTCCCATGCTGTTCTTGTAATAGTGAGTAAGTCTCACGAGATCTGATGATTACTATAAGAAGGAGTTTTCTTGCACAAGCTCTCTTTGCCTGCTGCCATACACATAAGACATGATTTGCTCCTTTTTACCTTCCACCATGATTGTGAGGCTTCCCCAGTCACATGGAAAGAGGTTTACACCCAATTAAACCTCTTTCTTTTGTAAATTGCCCAGTCTCAGATATGTATGTATCAGGAGTGTGAAAATGGACTAATACAATAATCAAGTGCAAGGCTGGGAGTGGTGGCACACACCTGTAATCCCAGCACTTGGAAAGGCCAAGGCGGGCAGATCATGAGGTCAAGAGATCGAGACCACGCTGGCCAACGTGGTTAAACCCCATCTCTACTAAAAATACAAAAATTAGTCGGGTGTGATGGTGCACTCCTGTAGTCCCAGCTATGGGAGGCTGAGGCAGGAGAATCGCTTAAACCCAGGAGGCGGAGGTTGCAGTGAGCC